GAAACGCACACTTCAGAGATTGTCTAACAACTTCTTTTACAGCGGAGTATAGGAGGACTCCTAATTTGGGATTACTAAGGTGTGTTGACGCAAAGGAAGCATCCAAGTTACTAGAGGAAATTCATCGCGGGACCTGCCGTCCACAAATGAACGGTTTTGTCTTAGCAAAGAAGATACTCTAAGCTGGTTATTTTGGATGACCATGGAAACGGACTGCATCCAGTAAGTCCGGAAATGCCACCACTGTCAGATACATGAAGACATGATAAAGGTACCTCCAAATGAGCTTAATGCAATAAGCTCACCATGGCCGTTCGCTGCCTGAGGAATAGATGTTATTGGACCAATCGAGCCTGGCGCTTCCAACGGACACCGGTTTATCCTAGAATCCATCGACTATTTCACCAACTGGGTCGAAGCAGCATCTTACAGAGCAGTAACTAAGAAAGTCGTGGGAGACTTTGTCCACGACCGCATTGTTTGCCAATTCGGGATTCCAGAGTCAATCATTACTGATAATGGCTCCAACCTCAATAGCGATTTGATGAAAGCTATGTGTGAAACTTTCAAGATCAGACACAAGAATTCCACAGACTACAGGCCTCAAATGAATGGAGCTGTAGAAGCTACCAACAAGAATATCAAGAAGACATTGAGGAAAATGATAGAGAACCATGAACACTGGCATGGAAAGTTATCATTTGATCTATTGGAGTGACGCACCATAGTCCGCACATCAACCGGGGCAACCCCCTATATGCTGGTTTATGGTACGGAGGCTGTCATCCCCGCCGAGGTAGAAATTCCTTCCCTAAGGATCATACAGGAAGCTGAGCTTGACGACGCAGAGTGGGTAAAAAGTCGTTATGAGCAACTAGCTCTTATAGACGGAAAGAGAATGAATGCGGTCTGCCATGGTCAACTCTATCAGAATAGAATGTCCAAAGCCTTCAACAAAAGAGTCAAGCCGAGACAATTCACACCGGGGCAGGTGGTGTTAACAAAAATTTCTCCGCATCAAGATGAAGCCAAGGGGAAGTTCTCTCCCAACTGGCAGGTTCCATACATGGTTCACCGGGTTCTGACAGGAGGAGCCCTCATACTTGCAGAAATGGATGGAGAAGTCTGGCCGAAGCCGGTCAATTCAGATGCAGTCAATCGTTACTATGTGTAATCTTTATGCTTTCCTTA